TCTCCCCGGCACTGGGAGGGGAGTGGGGGCTGGGGGGTTAGAGCAAGGGGGGTCTAGAAGCCAGGACTCCTGGGTTCTCTCCCCGGCACTGGGAGGGGAGTGGGGGCTGGGGGGTTAGAGCAAGGGGGGTCTAGAAGCCAGGACTCCTGGGTTCTCTCCCCGGCACTGGGAGGGGAGTGGGGGCTGGGGGGTTAGAGCAGGGGGGCCAGGAGCCAGGACTCCTGGGTTCTCTCCCCGGCTCTGGGAGGGGAGTGGGGTCCTTGCCTTCACCTTGCTGCGTGCTGTAGTTGTGTTAGTCACAGGGCGTTAGAGATACGAGGTGCGGGAGTGGACCGTATCCAATTAACCTCTGTTTAAGGAAGAGCCCCGCTTTGAGCTTACCCAGCTCTCCTGCAGGGCGGGGCACTGCTCTCCGAGTGCCCAGCTGGGCCCCTGTGAGGAACTGTCACATGAGGTGGTGTTGGGACAAACTGATAAATCCAACACTACTGAGTCACGGCTGGCAGCCCTTAAGCCTTCGGAAGGAACTCACGTATCTAACGCCAGAACCGCTCCCTGTGGTGTGTAACTCAATATTTAAACCTGCTCCTGGTTGTAACTACAGCACAGACCAGTACTATAGACAGAGATGAACACAACTTTGAGGTGGGTCAATAGACACGTGGATCCAGTGGATATAGTGTACTCATTTTCAGAAAGCCTTTGACAAGGTCCCTCACCAAAGGCGCTTAAGCCAAGTCAGCTGTCATGGGATAAGAGGGAAAGTCCCCTCCTGGATCAGTAACTGGGTAACGGATAGGAAAAACAGGGTAGGAATAAATGGTCAGTTTTGAGAATGGAGAGAGGTAAATCGTGGTGTCCCCCAGGGGTCTGTACTGCTCCTACTTCTATTCAACTTACTCATAAACAATCTGGAAAAGGGGTAAACAGTGAGGTGGCAAAATTGGCAGATGATACAAAACTACTCAAGATAGTTCAGTCCCAGGCAGACTGCGAAGAGCTACAAAAGGCTCTCTCAAAACTGGGTGTCTGGGCAACAAAATGGCAGATGAAATTCAAAGTTGATAAATGAAAGTAATGCACAATGGAAAACATAATCCCAACTGTACCTATAAAATGAAAGAGTCTAAGTTAGCTGTTACCACTCAAGCGAGAGATCTTGGAGTCAGTGTGGAGAGTTCCCTGAAAACACTCACGCAACGTGCAGCGGCAAACAAGCTAACCCCCTGTTAGGAACCACCCAGAAAGGGGTAGCAAGACAGTAAATAGGATAATGTCACTGGAGAAATCCATGGTGTGTCTCTGCCTGGAATATTCGGTGCAATTCTGGTCACCCTGTCTCTGAAAGGTGTTATTAGAAATGGAAAAGGTAGAGAGATGGGCAACAAAAGTTATTAGGGGTATGGAACCCCTTCTAGAGCAGGAGAGCTAAAAAAGGCAGATACGATAGAGGTCTATAAAATCACAGTGGGTTTGGAAACAGTAAACAAGGAAGTGTTATTTACTCCCTCATAACAAGAGCTAGGGGGAAGCAGGTTTAAAACACACAAAAGGAAGTATTTCTTCACCCAACGCATTGTCAGCCTGGGGAACTCCTCGCCAGCGGATGTTGCGAAGGCCAAGACTATACCAGGGTTCAAAGAAGAACTAGAGAAGTCCCTGGAGAACAGGTCCATGAATGGCTATTAGCCAGGATGGGCAGGGATGCGACCTCCTGTTCTGCACGTCCCCAGCAGCTGACAGCGATCACTCGGTCATTGCCTGTTCTGTTCATTCCCTCAGAGGCTCTGACACTGACCCCGCTCAGAGGACACTGGGCTAGCTGGACCTGACTCTATTCTGATGTAAAGACATCCAAGGTGAGGCAGGACCAATCGCACCTAGACCTGCCCTTACAAACCTCCCTTGGACGTCTGTTCTGGAGCCGAACTCCCCTTAGAGAGCAAGAGTGGTTGTCAGCCCCACACCCAGCCGCTGTCTTTTTTCAAGGCTAAACGGGCCTTGTTTGTAACCTTTCCTCCTAAGGCAGCTTTTCTCAACCCCCGGGGGCCCTGCGGGTGCTCGCCTCTGGCCCATGAGCTGTGGGCATTGGGGGGGGGGGGGGAAGGAACCAGAGACCCCAGCAAGGAGGAAATGGAAACTTGCAGGGAGCCCCTGATGGGGGGGAGGGAGAGAAGCAAGCAGCGTGTGTGTTAGGCCCGACCCTATTTGCACCCTGTGTATTTATCCTCACTCCCCCTCCCAGCTGGGCTGGGCCATTTCCCCCCATGGTAGAGCTGAGAATGGAGAAGTGAGGTGCCCGCACTCAGTCCCAGCACCACCCTCCTGCTCCTCAGTCCTACCCCCCATCTAGGGCTTTCGACTAAGGGGGCTGGGGGCCAGGACACCTGGGTTCTAGGCCCCGAGGGGTGATGCAGGGAGCGACAGGTAATTCCCTCACTGTACACAGGGCCAGAGCCCAGCAGCATGGGGCACTGGGGCTCATCGCTGCAGGCGGGACGGAGTCGCTTTGCCCCACAGCGCAGAGGGGCTGGGCTCAGCCCTGCCCTTCAGGGAGATGGGGTGAGGCGCTCACCCACCGGGCTGGACAGGAGCTGCCTGGTGAGATGGGGCCCCCCCATCTCCACCCTCAGCCAGCACCTAACTGTAGAGCAGGGGGTCCCCAAGTTCACGGCCCCTGCTGCCTCCAGGGACAGAGCTAGACACGTCCCCCAACCCGGCTAGCAGCTCGTCACCCACCCCTGGCCCCAGCACCAGCAGCGCTGTAACATACAAACACTGGTTTATTGGTAAGAGAAAAAGCTGAACAAATCGCCTTTGCAATGACAGGGAGCCCCCGGCAGGAGCCCCCAGGACACAGGCCTGGCCTCCCCCACCCCATGGCACAGAACAGGAGGTCAAGGGCACAACCTCAGCCCCGTGGGGGCGTCTGGGAGCAACAGTGCCCCAGAACCTGGCACGGAGTGCATGCCCCAGGTAGGCGACACCCCCCCCCAGCGCCAGGGGCTGGAGCCAGCTACCCCACGAAGGGGGGGACCCCCCGGGGGTGCCGAGCAAGCTAGGCTCGGCCGGGGGCAGGGATGGCCCCTCCCGTGGGCTCAGACGAAGGTGATGCGGGTCCGGGCCTGGTTCACCTGCCAGACGTTCAGCTCCTCGTACTCGTCCAGCGCAGCCTGGAACTGGGCGGGGGTGAAGCCCTTGGAGACGCAGCGCTGCTCGGCCTCAGCGTAGCGCACCGCGCGCCCGCCCACCCCGCCCGCCAGCTCCCGCACCGCCGCAAAGATCACGTCCGCTGCCCGCTGTGTCCTGGGGAAAGGGGGATGCGTCAGCACTGCCCCACACTGTCAGCCTCCACAAACCCCTTCCTGCACTGCCCCCAGCCCCAGGGAACCCCTGCCCCCAGCCCCCCCACTGCTCCCAGTCCCAGCCTCGGGGAACGCCCCCCCAGAGATCCCATCCGCTGCTTCCTGGGGGGAGAGAAGAATGGAGCCACAGGAACGCCCCCCTCCCTAAGCAGGAATGTGCCCCTAACCCAGAGCGCCCTGCCCCCCAGCAGGACCCTTGGCTGTACGTGTGTGGGGAAGAGACTTAGGGGACGGAAGCCCAGCCTTGGCATGTGAACGTTAGGGGCACAAACCCCACGTCTCACCTGGTTTGCTGCCCCTTGTCCCCCAGCAGCGAGTCCTTGGACATCTCCATGAGCCGCATGGCCTCGTTCACGTCCTCCTTCTCCACCACATCCACCAGCCGCAGCCGGGCCTGGAGGGGAGGCGGCACGGGGAGGGGGTCAACGTGGGTCACCGGCTCTGCCCCACAACCCAGGAAATGCTTGACCACCAGCACCCATCCATCCCCAGCAGACCGAGACGAGGGGCAATGCCCCGGGCCATTCCCAGCTATCGACCAAACCTCTGCCAATCCCGACCCGCCCAGCCTGGCGGGGGTTCCATCCCCACCCCCAGGGCGAAGGGGGCCTGGCCACTGCATGACCCGAAGAGCAGCCCGGGGCCTCTGGGTTCCTCCCTGCAGTCGATGGGGCCGGCAGGGGTCCCCCCGACGGGGTGTCCGGGGGGCTCGCGAAGCGCTGACTCGGCAGTAGTCGGCTGCACACGCTACCTGCACGAACAGCACTTTGGAGCCTCTGGGACTGGCTGGGGGGACAGGACGAGCGGTTCCTGCTCCGGGCATCTCCCTCTCTGCCCCTGCACCCAGCTGCAGGCCAGCCTGGAGGGGGGGCAATCCGCCGATGCCAGTGGCCCCCCAGAGCTGCAAGCCCCCACACTGCAGTAGCAACCAGACGCTAGCTACCTGCACTGTCAGCACTTTAGCCCTGCGGAGCCGGGAACGGTGCCGCCCCCCCCCATTCCCTTCTCCGCCACCCCCAGCCGGGGCGGGCGCTCACCAGGGCACTGGCCAGACGCAGGATGCCCAGCAGCGTGCGGGCCGACGTGAAGGTGGTGTCCTTGCTGGCCCAGGCCTCCTTGCGCATCTCCACGTAGGCGGCTGTGATGTAGTCAGCCAGCGCCTCCGGCACGGTCGGCTGCTTCCGCCTACACATGCTGATGTAGCGCCTGGGGGGGCAAGGGGGGAGATGGGGTTAATA